TGCATGAGTTTACACCCTTGTCTGCCTCTTGGCCAGATAATCGTTGAGTTCTATATCAATTCATCTGGTTAAATAAATAAATAAATACAAGATGCAAACCCACATAAGGCACCTGGACCCGATGGCGTGTCCTCATCCACCCTGAGACACTGTGCAGAGGAGCTGAGCCCAGACTTCTCAGAGATCTAAAGCACCTCTCTGGACTCATGTCATGTGCCAACCAGCTTTTAATCCTCCATTATTGTCCTAGTCCCTAAAAAGCCAAGGATCACTGGACCAAATCTGTGCATGTGTGTGCATGTTGTTTTGTTACTTGTCCAAGGCCATTCAATTTCCCCCTCCGGGGATTAATAAAGACAACCTTGAACCTTGAAATGACTACAGACCGGTGGCCCTGATCTCAGTAGTCATTAAGTCCTTCGAGCACCCGACTTTGTCCCACCTCAAAGACCCCCCCCCCCCCCCCCCCCCCCCCCAAGACCCAATGCAGTTTACCTACATAGTCAACAGATGTGTAGATGATGCAAAATCAGTCTTGCCTTCTACTTCCTCCTGTTATACTTGGACCGCTTTCATAAAATAATGCTGCTAATTTGCTGCAAAGCTGAGCCAGCATCTGGGAGCCTTGAGTTATTTGTGTGTTCAGATTGTAACGGTAATGTGGCACGATTGTGTTCTTTTTAAAAAAGATAATGGGATGGTGGCATGGATATGGGGGCAGACTTTATTCTGCGCAGAACTGGCTCATCTCGAACACTGTGAATGTGACTCAACGTAATGCAAAAGTGACAGCCACATCTAGTGGACAACTTTTGTTTCTGCACATACCTGTAGTTATCGTCCATTTATCGTTATCGAGGTGAAATCCTCAATATGTAGTGATAATAATTTTAGGCCATATCGCCCAGCCCTACTACACATTCAGTAAAAAACAGGTCCACAAGTACAATTCTGTATTTATTTATTTGTTTTCACTGCATCATCTTTTATTCCTCTTGTTACACCAACAGTTCCCCACAAGGGCCATTAAAGTAAATTTCTCATTTCTAGTTTATATTGTCTAATCGTATTAAAGGCAAAATACATTGGAACAGTTCTACACATGTGGTCTTTTTCCAGGGAAATGTTGTGTGCACACACAGACTTTGAGGGTATAACAGAGGAAACATCTCAGAGTGATGTTCTCTTGTGTTTCCTTACATTTCTGCCAGATGTCCTGCTGCTGGTTCCACTCACAGATCATGCACACATTTAGTTTTATTTTATTCTATTGCTGAAATTGGGGCTCTTTAATTATATTTCATGTTTTTATTCATCCACAAATATTTGGTAATGGATTAGCATCAATGGGTTTATGGAGAATATAAATGAAGTGCAATGTAATTTTCTTTTAAAAGCAATGAAAATTTTCCATCCATCCATTTTCAGCTGCTTGTCTGGAGTTGGGTCACAGTGGCAGCAGCCTAACCGAGACGCCCAGACTTCTCTCTCCCCAGCTACTTGGACCAGCTCTTCTGGGGGCATCCTAACGTGTTCCCTGGCCAGCTGAAAGACATAGTTCCTCCAGCTTGTCCTGGGTCTTCCTTTAGGTCGCCTCCCGGCTGGACGTGTCCGGAGAACCTCACCAGGGAGGCATCCAGAAGGCATCCTGACCAGATGCCCAAGTCACCTCAAGCTGCTCCTCTCAATGTGGAAGAGCAGCAGGTCTACTTCAAGCCCCTCCCGGATGACCGAGCTTCTCTCCCTATCTCTAAGGGAGAGTCCAGCAACCCTGCAGAGCCAACTCATTTTGGCCACTTGTATCCTCAATCTGGTTCTTTCGGTCACTACCCAAAGCTTCAGGCCATAGTTGAGGGTAAGAACAGAGATCCTTCTGGCTCAGCTCTCTCTTCACCATGACAGATCGGTACAGCACCCGCATCACTGCAGATGCAGCGCCAATCCGCCTATCGATCTCACTTCTTTATTTATTTATTTTCCTGTCACAAAATGTATTTTTATTTTTGGCTGGGTCTCAAACTCGGACTTGAATAAGAATTTTGTTTTCCAAATTTGCTTTTACGCTTTTATTTAAGCAAAGTTATGAGAAAATAATTAAATAAAAAATTCACTACTTATAAGAATCAAACTCATCCCTTGTTTACCAATCTTAACTCCATGTGTCACGGCCTTTATACTTCCAAAAAATACGATTTCCAACTAAAGGCCATTGGTGAGAACAGGTGATTTCCTTTAAGCACGCACTTTAGACTTGATTTCTTGCAAATTTTATAAATGGTTTATTCTTCCAAAAAATAGTTCAAAATTCATTCAAAATTTTCTACTCTTGATCAAACGAAAATTAACCTTAAATTAAATTATCAGGTCTAAAAAACGGTCAAAAAATCATTTAACAAAATCCTCCCATTTTCTCTGACACTTGGCCAACAAACATTCTTTCACACGCCTCCCCATGTGCTACTAATAAGCTTAGTGTCTAAGGCGTGTCCAAAAAATTCACAACTACATCAATTTGCCAAAAAACAAAAAAATTAACAAATTTGACTTGCAAACTTAACCTATTATAAAGGAAATGATAAACGAAGAAATTCTAAAAGAAATGTATAACTAACAGATTTATGTTACTTAACTGACAAGGCCACCACACCATGTGTGAGACTCATCATCAGAGTTGAAAAAAAAGATTGACGCCTGAGTTTGTATATCTCAGAAACTGGGAAAACTACAAATGTTCTTACTTTCCTCTCTTTTATTCATCTTTTCCGTATCGCGCCCCCCTCCTTCTCTCTCTCTCTCTCTCTCTCTCTCTCTCTCTCTCTCTCTCTCTCTCTCTCTCTCTCTCTCTCTCTCTCTCTCTCTCTCTCTCTCTCTCTCTCTCTCTCTCTCTCTCTCACACACACACACACACACACACTCACACACACACACACACACACACACACACACACACACACACACACACACACACTATTCTGTGGTTGCATTGCTCTAAAATTATTGTAACCCTCACCTATTTATTAATAAAAGAGGAGTGTTTCAATGCTTTTCATTTGAGACTAAATAATTCTGACTCAATGATGCCATCTGGTGGGGGAACATGCCGTCTGCTTTAAAATGCAAAACAGTTATTTCATTATTAAAACTGTATTCACCGGTGTTGTGCGGTTTTCGCTCCTCTGAGGTTCCTGGGTTTCAGTAAATCATCTAATTCTTTACTTCACAGCTAATATTGAATGTTTTTTTATTTGTGGTGTCACACTTAATCCCAAGTAGGTCACTTTCAAAAGACTATGTTTGTGAGATTTATTGGTAGTAGATTAACTTAATAGTCATTTGATGTAATAAAGTAGCTAATTTAGGACAAAATATGTTAAGTTATTTATATTTTGTTTGAGAATTATGTTTATTATAAGCCATTCTCATGTCATGGCTTAAAATTATTCTTTTAACAAAGCTATTTAGCCATGAGCACCACTTCATTTGCATATCAATGTTTACATTTGTACATTTGAAATGAGGACTCTGCAAGTGTTTCATTGTTTTTGCTTTTATTTTATTTCCATGCATTTTTTTTATCTTTGTCTTTAAAACAAGTTAAATGTTTTGTGATCCACCTAAAACCTTTTACTTTTTCTTATTTTACTTTTTTTTGTAAATGAATGGAATTTTTTAGTGCTTTTAAAATGTTTTAATTCCATAAACTGTCTGAAATTATGTGAGTGTTTATTGTATTTTGTACTAGTTTGTGATTTTTGTAAGATTTTAGGTTTTGTCAAATTTGTTTTTGTTTTTTTTAATATACTGGAAGTAATAAAGAATGACTTAAATACGGAAAAGTCACTCATCCTAAACACAAATCACCTGAGAAACTGTGTGTGTGTGTGTGTGTGTGTGTGTGTGTGTGTGTGTGTGTGTGTGTGTGTGTGTGTGTGTGTGTGTGTGTGTGTGTGTGTGTGTGTGTGTGTGTGTGTTGTTTATATGATAAATATGCGTTCAATAAAATTGCCTTCAAATCAGACGACATAAATCATAAGTGTCCAGTCTGATGCGCCCTCTGGTGGACATATTTACGCTTTACAGCTAAGGACCATCAACACAGAACTTTCAGCACCAGGACAAATGGACAGCTCCCAGTAAGCAAGACCAGCTCCAAGTTTTTAAACTGGGCATGAGCCGTACGGCTTAAACTGTCGATATGACACCATTACTGTTTTAAAGTCGTTAAGTGTGATAGCAGCTTATGAAAACGCATTTCTCTGTCAGATATGGGATCTACACATAGAACGGTGGCATATACTCTGAAAAAATCCTTTGAACTTATTAAACAGCACAATTCCTCACTAGTCTGAAAATATGTCGAGCCAACCTAAAAATAGTCACCCTTTTAGTCATCCCAGTGGATCACCTTACAGCAGAGAAGGTTACTCTGCACCCCTCCACTCTCTCTGTGGACACTGGTTGCCTTATTAACAAAATTATTTTCAATTCGAGCCACAGGGCGACCTAATTTCCTGCTCATTTCTGGTTACTGGTCCTCTCTCATCTGTTGCTGGTGGAAACTAATTCCCAGAGAAGTGAGATGTAAAAGGGCACGAGGAGAAAGAAGCCACAGGCCCTCATAGCTTTTATTCAGGTGTGGCATTTGGAGTTGATCCTCTGCTTTCCCGATGCTTGTATCCGTGTTCGTGGTCTTAATTAAAGTGATATTTCGAGAGAGAAGGTTCTGTTTGTTCAGTTAATGAACCCCAGAATTCTCTACGGGCAAATGGAAATGCAAGTGCTCCAATTAGCATATGTTAGCATTTCCCTATGTTTATTCCATGCTGTGGAAAACAGCTTACCAAGGCGAAAAGCTTTCTACTCTTGTAGGAGAACTTTTTCACCTCACAAATAATTGACTTGGGCTAATTAAACCCACACCCTTGCCTAAATGATTTGTCTGTGTGTTTTAGTCAAACTTCTCTGACGTGTAGCATGTGAGAGCCTTAAGGAAGACCAGGTGGAAAAAATACTTTAATTTATTAAATGTTTACAGTACATGTGAGGGCTAAATAACCCATCATTAGAGTAGTACCGCATCATAAAGCAGCTTGCATATACATTTACATAGTATTTGTCATATTTACACAAGCTTTGTTAGCAAAGACACATACAAAAGAAAAGAAATTAAACAGAAAAATAAGAAATTTACAGGAATGTGCAAAATTATGGTTCATTTATGCCTTTTGGAACATTTTTGGGATGAAATTTCTGCTCCAGTTTGATTGTCTAAATAATAATCATAGTTAAAGTTGTAATGACAGCAACGGGTATAAGGACAGACACAGTGACAATGTTGCAGTGGCATGTCACATAAATAACCATCATATTTCTCCGAAAGACATTTTCCATTAATTAGGATTCATCAGAGGATTGATCTTCCTTTCCTATTACCTCACAAATGTCACATTATCTATGTGCTGAATGGTCTCTCCCTCTGTTTTCATTTGAGTTTATCAATCCATCCATTAGGCAGCCTCTGAGAAATGTCAGTCATTGTACAGGTCGTTGTTTATCACCGCAGCCTCCCCCTGGGGGGACATCTGCAGACGCCTCTTCTTGCCAAAGGTGGAGAAGGAATTGTGGACGCCCAGCTCGCTTCGTTGTGCAGCAGGCCGCAATGTGCAGAAGCCTGAAGGAGTTCCCGGGATGTACACGTTGTGGTGGTAGTCGGGTGGCGGGTGAGGGTGGGGGTGGGGGTGAGGTGGGATTGAAGGCTGCTGTTGCTGGGGTGGAGGTGTGCAGCGAGGAGTCCAGGGGCGAGAGGGGAGGCCACTGGGTGAAGGGGACATTTTAAAATCTGAATGAAAAGGAGAACCATTATTCACCAGTGAGATTATTAACATTTTCATTTGCAAAAAATGGGATGTGACGTTTTAAATAGGAAAAGTAGATGTTTAAATTAAGTTAATGATTGCTATTAATAACTGCACTAATGAGCCTTAACATAACTGCACATATATGTGACCTTTAAAGTGTATTTACCTTTCACTCCTTTCATGTGGTTCCCCCAGGTCCAGTACTGCCCCGGTGCCATGGAGGCCACATAGTGTTCTGGGTCTGCATGCATAGCCTTCCGCATGAGCGTGCCATCCATGTTGATAGAATTATAACTGCAAACATGATGAAAGCATGCTCATGTAAGGGATGAAATAATAAAATAAAGTTGTCATTTTGTTTAGTTTAGATTAGAAGATGCTGATGTACCTTTTAATAGAAGAGTTTTGAGTTTTAGTGAGAGTCCAGTCTGTGTTTGGCTGCTTTAGCTGCAGGAGACAGAAATGTCAGCCTCAATAAAAAGCAGGTTTTAATTAGCAAATCATCACTTCTAATTTGCAAAAAGGGTTCATCTCTGATTTTTTTTTAATGTTCCACTAATCAGAGCAGGTCTTTTAAAGCCAGATGTACTCACGAAGGGCTTCTGTTCACAAAGGTCAGAGAAAAGTGACTGGAACAGTATTGCATGCTTCTGATGAAACGGAGGCTCTTTATTGATGGATCTCGACTGTCCCCTAGTGGGCATTTTTCAGAACACACATTTTTCAGCAGCGCCTTCAGCTGAACAGGCTGTAAGTTTTGCTTGTATCCTCTGTTGCGCAGCGGGAAAGGGGTGACAGGGAGCACCCGAGTGATATTTTTGCCCGGATTTTGGATCTCATAGTATGGATTCCACGCTCTATTAACTCGTCCAAACTTGTTAACAAGGAGAATGCGAGTAAGCGTGTTATCAAAATCGGCATTCTAAATAGTATCCTCGCCAAAACGCGTGAAACCAATTAGAACCCCACAGGGATGAAACGAAACATGATTTTAATCTTCAAAGGGAACCGTGCCAGGGAGAAAATTAAGGAAATTACACACGTCATTGTTTTGTGGATTTTATGCGTCATTTTACATTAATATTTGCCTGGTGCTCCTCAAGCAATGTTTTTAATTAAAAGTCTGAGAGTGCCTTGGAAAGTTTGCGGTCCTCGCAGCTCTGAGTCTGCGCTCATTCACGGGGGCGCGCACGCGCTTCACCTGCCTTATGCTCTCTGCGCCCTTGGATGAGTATTTATTCCGTCTCTTCACCTTCCATCCATCAACACAAACAGGCCTGTATATGCACTTGCTCTAAGTAGTTTCTTTGTGATTTGTGTTCTACGTCTCTGACGACCTCGCAGGATGTCATGGGGGGAGACTGGGGACTCTGGGTGAATTAGTGGAACCAATTAATGGGAAGGAAGGACACTCAGATTGCTGCGGGCGGAACAATCAGTGTGACCTCAAAACCCGTCCTGTGGCCCAGAGGTGCTTGTGCCAGTGACATTTCTCACTCATGCCTGGTGAGGAGGGGGTCAACGCTTTACGCACACGTTTACGGTCAGTTGCTCCGTCTGTTAGGATTAGAAAGCATCACTGTGGACATCTCTCTCTCTCTCTCTCTCTCTCTCTCTCTCTCTCTCTCTCTCTCTCTCTCTCTCTCTCTCTCTCTCTCTCTCTCTCTCTTCTTCGATTACACCTCCCTTCCTCCCCCACCCCCTCGCTTGGCATATATGAAGCCACATCTTTCTCCCTCACATTCAGAGGACGACGGTGGGGGCGATCTACAGGCTGCCCACGTCTCATTCCAGCCATGTCCTTGCGCCCTTTCTCCCCCTCTCCCTCCCACCCTTTCCACGATGTCCTCCTCTGTCTCTCCAAAACCAGCCATTTGCCATTTCTCATCAATAATTGACAGCCCCTCCTGCGAATACGCCACAATGTGTGTAGTACAGTGCCTCGCTGGCGCGCGTGCCCTTGAGGCATAGTTAGTGAGGTTATCTGTCTTATATCGTTAGTTTGAGCTCAAGAAGGCAACAATAATTGTCTGGCTCGTCTGCCGCCGTGTGTGTATAACCTTGACTTCTTCAGGTGAATGTGCTGGATGCAGGTGCGCGCGCGCGCCCACCTCCTTCCATTACCATAATTATCCACACAAGTCGCAGTCTTATCATAGAAACGCGTTTTTTTCTTCATCCAGACAGAAAGTCAGCTTGAACGTTTTCAGCCCATTATGCTGTAACTGACATCTCACTTCATTCTCTTCACGCTCAGTGCGCAGCATATGCTGCTCGCAAAATGGAGCTTTACACTTTCATTAACGTGCCAATTAAAATGTAATCTCACGTCATCTCGATTCATTCCCCGGGTGTGAAACATTAGCAGAGACGTCACAATGAAGATAAGTTAGTCTTTCTTCAAATTAAATAATAATCATAAGGAGAATGGATGTGAGAGATTAAAGAGATGTGTTTGAGTTGTTTCTATAAGTTGACTTTAAATCTGAGTTGCATGTGTGATGTGACCTTCACGAAGTGGAATGTCACACACACACACACGCACGCACGCACGCTCGCTTACTCACGCACACGCACACGTGCACCCACACACGCACACTTTTCAGTGTTTGCTGATTCCGCTCTACCTCGCTGGGAGTAGTGGCTCCGATGTTCACAGATGCGCTCCGGCTGTGCACGTTCCACGAGCTCTCCGCGCTCTTCGCCTCGTTGTTCCTCGGTGTGCTGCTCGGGCTGCACGGCTTCAGAAACATGAAGTCACTTTTGGCTGATTCGGGGGTCAGACACGCTTTATAACAATATGACTGAGAGAAACTGCTATTTCCATTCACCTCCATGCAGTTTGTCGGCACTTTGGCGGCGGATGAAATCTGCAGGTTGAGGTTGGATTTTTTGAACACCTCCGGGGGGGGCTCCGGTTGGAACCCCCCGCAGCAGCAGCAGGCTAGTGGGGGCAGGTTATAGCCGCTGTGGGTCTCTCTGTCCTTGTAGCACTTGACCGCAGCCAGCACTATAATAGCCACCAGGAATATTAGCGATATTGTGCTCAGTGACACGATTAAGTAGAGGGCGAGGTTGGAGGGGGGCTTTGGGCTGAGGGTGAGGTCTCCAAAATCTAACAATGACTCCGGCACGTTGTCCACAACTGTGAGGACAATTGAAACGGTGGCAGAGAGCGGCGGCTGCCCGTTGTCCTTGACTAATATCACAAGTCTTTGTCTTGTTGCGTCTTTTTCCACTAAACGGCGAATCGTCCTGATTTCTCCCGTGTAGAGAGCCACGCTGAATAAGCCCGGGTCTGTCGCCTGCAGCAGCTGGTAGGACAGCCGGGAGTTCTGCCCCGCGTCCGCGTCCAGCGCTGTTATTTTGGTCACTAGATACCCGGCGTCCACAGACCGCGGAACCACCTCCACCGCTTCAGTGCCGTTCTTGGGCAGCGGTGACACGATGACAGGTGCGTTGTCATTCTGGTCGAGGACAAAGACGTTGACTGTGACATTGCTGGCCAGTGGGGGGAAGCCAGCGTCCTGCGCCTGCACCAGAATCTGAAAGTTTCTAAGTTGCTCGTAATCAAAGGAGCGCAGTGCGTAAATGTTGCCGTTGTCTGAGTTGATTGAGACATAAGTGGACATTGGCATGCCCTGAATCTGACCCTCGAGAATGGAATAGGACAGATAGGCGTTCTGGTTCGAATCGGGGTCGAATGCTGTGACCGAGCAAATGGAAGCGCCCGGGGCGTTATTCTCTGTCACATAAACCGTGTATGAAGGTTGAGAGAACCGCGGGGGGTTATCGTTGATGTCAGACACTTGGACCAGGATGGTTTTCCTGGTGGAGAGCGACGGAGAGCCCAGGTCCCGGGCTGTGAGGGAGATGTTGTACTCAGACACCACCTCCCTGTCCAGGGACTCGCTCGTCACTAAAGTATAGTAGTTTTTAAAAGATGAGTGAAGCTGAAACGGGATATTGTTCGGAATCTGGCAGTCCACGTTTCCGTTCTCTCTCGAGTCCCGGTCCATGACGCTGATCACAGCTATTACCGTGCCCGGAGGCGCGTCTTCCTGCACAGGTGTGGACACGGAGGTGAGGATGACTTCTGGCGCGTTGTCATTCACATCCAGGATGTCCACCAGCACTTTGCTGTGCACCGCCACGGCAGACGGCCCTCTGTCTTTAGCCTGTACGTATAATTCATACACGCTGGCTTTCTCGTAGTCCACAACGCCCTTCACCCGGACTTCACCCATGTACGGGTCCACGCTGAACAGCTCGCGCACTTTAAGAGGTGCGTGTCCACTAAACGCATAAGTAACTTCCCCGTTCGAGCCTTCATCCAAGTCTGTGGCGTTCAGCTTCAGCACCAGTGTTCCCCTCGGTGCGTTCTCCACCAGACTCGCCCTGTAAATGGAGCAGTCAAACACAGGCACGTTGTCGTTGGCATCCAAAACTGTTATGGTTATCAGCGCCGTGCCAGTGCGCTCCGGAGAGCCTCCGTCAAAAGCAGTCAGTACCATCTCGTGTTTTTTCTGCTGCTCCCGGTCCAGCGGGGTGTCCAGCACAAGCTCGGCAAACTTGCTGCCGTCGTTGCGCGTCTGGATGTTCAGCACAAAGTGCTCGTTTGAACTCAGCTGGTAGGAGCGCAGAGAGTTGGTGCCCACGTCTTGGTCCTGCGCGCTCTCCAGCGGGAAGCGTGAGCCGGGAGCGGCGGACTCCGTGATGTCCAGATTAAACTCAGTCCACGGGAAGCTGGGAGAGTTGTCATTCACGTCCAAAATCTCCACCTCCACTCTGTAGAGTTCTAACGGGTTTTCAATGACCACCTGTAAGTGCAGGAAGCAGTTCGGACTCCGTTCGCACAGCTCCTCTCTGTCTATCTTTTCGTTGACGAAGAGAATTCCATTTTCCAAGTTCACTTCTAAATATTGCTTCTTTGCGCCGGAGACGATGCGAAAGCGGCGTGCTGAGAGCTTGGCCACATCCAGCCCCAGGTCCTCGGCTATGTTGCCCACAAAGGCTCCGTGCTCCAGCTCCTCTGGGATGGAGTAGCGAATCTGAGCTAGAACCAGGTCCACCACACACCCGCACAGCACTAGACATATAACCAGACCAGTCACGGGTACCCAGCTGCCTCTGGAGAGTCCGTGATCCATCTCAGCAGCGTGCGTAAAAATCACCTCATCCAGACATGTTCCTCCTCACGCGAAGCCCTCTAACTCCGACACCAACCAGGAAAAAAGTCCCGATTGAATAAAATATAATCTCCAGATGTGCGTTTGTCACACCTACTTGGTCTGAATAACTTTACAGAAATCTGGAGATGAAAGAGGAGGGAAGGAGAGGGAGAGGAGAGCGAAGGCGCATCTCTTTCTCTGCGCGCAACGCTGGTGTGTGAACGGGGTAGGCTCTGTGCTTTGATTTTCCAGTGTATTAGGCACTCGGAGGAGCTGGTGTGTGTGTGTGTGTGTGTGTGTGTGTGTGTGTGTGTGTGTGTGTGTGTGTGTGTGTGTGTGTGTGTGTGTGTGTGTGTGTGTGTGTGTGTGTGTGTGTGTGTGTGTGTGTGTGTGTGTGTGTGTGTGTGTCAGAGAGAGGAAGGAAGAGAGAAAGAGAGAGACGGAGGGGGAGGACTGTAGCTTGCTCCGTATTGGAGGACGCCGACGATAAGTGCAACTCTAATTACTGAGGACGTTTAACCCTTTCATTTCCACGCGTCTGAACCATTAAAGAGGGCAAGAGTTTGTCACCAAGACGTCAGAGCCAGATTTGGCTTATAGGAGACAAATTATGTTTATTTTCTAGGCTACATCCACCAGAAGGATTTGTCTTTGTGTCCAAGGTGTCTCACAAGATGTCAGGAATGTCCAACATGATTTAACTGTGCTTCATCTGGATCTCATCATGGAATGGAGATGAGGTCCTAATATAATAAAAAATGAGGTAAATCACGCAGGCTTAAGCCCTCATCATGTTGCCTCACGTGGCCCAATGGCCATGGCTCCAGGGACTCTAAAATGATTTTTAATTAGAGCCCTTTGAAGATGAATGCCCACACTGCAAAACAGTCCCATTCATTAATCATCATCCACGGGACGGGCTTTTACAAAAAGATTCTTTGATAGGTCCGGATATTCATTTTTAATCAACATTTAAATGAGTGTGAGCTTAATATGATCCTGACAGTCTTAACGGACACACACACACACATACACACACACACACACACACACACACACACACACACACACACACACTCACACACACACACACACATTACAGGGCATTAATGTACCAGAGGAGACCTGAACATGTATCAACATAATCAACATAAAAGCCGTGCTATAATCACACTTGTCTCTAATCAGGTATTATGGTCAGGATTATAGGGAACTATTCCTAGCTGATCTTTTTACATCCTTTGAAGTGGAAGAGGACAAGTACGCGTGCTGCTAAGGAAACTCCAAAGTCTTCAGATCAGATTAGAAGTGACACCATTGGATAAAACTTGGAGGTTTGGGGATAAAGACCCTCTAAAGCGAGGCACATGTTTGTTTAGATCTAATCGTTTCTGTGTTAATCCTGGTCAGTCAGTCAATCAGACAGACAACTGCTGAGTGACAGGGAGAGCGCGCACAAGGCAGTGAAAGAGGACTTAAAGGACGCCTTTGTGAATTCAAGTCCGTCTCCAGAAAGACACGAGCCGCATCCTAATTTAGGAGCCGTTGCTTGAGATGAGAAAGTCTCTTTTTGGGATTGACGGTGCAGCTTTGGCCTCCAGGCAGCACGAAATGTTAGCACGAGAAAGAGGAGAGGGTGAGGAGAAATTGTTGTTGTTGTTTATTTCCGTGTAGCTTTTTTTTCTCAGCTTGATGCTGAATTTCTGAATAAATCACCTTGAAGAAAAACAGTAAGTACGAAAACTTCTCCAAAAAATCTTGCATTCAGTTAAAAGTTTATTTAGCAAAAATCCCATTTATCTGTTCTTTGGCAAATGAAGTATTTCCAAAAATCACCCAACATCCTCCGATTTTCAGGAAAAAGCAAATAAAAAAGGAAAACATCCAATCCGCAGGTTTAAATAAGCAGAAAACACAATCTGCTTGAAGACTTAACCTCAAACAGATGGTTAAGCTTCCCCAGAAATGATTACATTTCTAGAAAAAAAAGAAGGAAAATAAATCAGCATCACCAGTTCCATTGCTTTCCCCTTCTTTTTAATTAACGGAGTGAAGGATTAGTGTACAGCTATCCGGGATCAACCGTTCTCCGACGGAAGAATGCAAATGTTTTGTGATAAATAATCCCAAAGCACCGGGAGCGGCGCCCCTTCGGTGCGTGTTACATTAACATGCATTACACGGAGCATTAAGCCGGTCTCATCCGCCCCTATCGCCTGGTTCACCTCATTGTCCGACAGGAAGACAGCCATTAGTTTAGTGTGAGCTGCGCTCACCTGAGCAGCCACCTGAGCGTGACCCTGCAGGAGGATCAAGCTCCAGTCTCAGGATAATGATGATAGTTTATACACTATCATCATCATCATCATCATCATCATCATTATTATTATTATTATTATTATTATTATTATTATTATTATTATCATTATTATTATTATTATTATTATTATTATTATTATTATACTTTACCAACAAATAGGTGAAGTTTTCTTAAGATACTTTCATCTGAACTGTGTCGCCACTGTCCCACAGGGCGCGCTCCTTATAAAATATCCCTGATCCAATGGCGCCATCTCGTGGAGGTTCTTCGGTAGTGTAAGTGTTTTGTTAGGCATTCATCACGATAACAACAAAATCCCATTGTGTAAATAATCCAGATTTGCTAAAAATTGATTTTCAAGTGGCAGAATGATGATGCAACTTAAAACAAAAATATTACAACATCAAGTTGGATCTATATTTCATAAATTATAAAAGTTTTTTTTCAGATCTGCACATAAATGTCTCTGTTAAATACTTTGTTGAAATTTTGTCCAACAAGCCTGAATCATATGTTTAAACATAGTTTAAATTTCCACTTTTCTTTTCTATTTTCCAGTTTTCCTTTTACATAGAGAGAAATATACATTTTCAGTAACACATGGTCCATTTCCTTCTTGCTGAAGAACTCCAAACAGGTGAATCCATACCTGCATGTGAGAAACACTTTCAGTGAACGAAACATGTTGATTGGTTTATGGAAAATGTTTATTATCATATTGCTGGTCATCATGACACATAAAGGCACAGAGGCTTGGAAACAGATCAAATAATCAGGGCTAGTTTGCTCAACTATATTTGCAGGGATTCTGTGGCCTTGATGATTTCTAGGCGTGAATACAGGTTTTAAATGCTTTATGCTGATTGTATTAACAGAACATGAAAGTGACAACCGTGGAAATTAGATGTTTTAAATCCTAAATGAGTTAATGACAAGCTGTCTAACTCTCACAGGGATGTTGGAGAGCTTTGTTTTCATCTGAGGCTTGTAAAGAGAAAATAACTGATCATGTTTCCAGGCTATAAGCAATTTGTTTGAACTTAAACTGGAGAGATGTTGGAAAATATTTAACGGAAAAATTACATTTGAATTAGCAACTCACGAGGTCCTGTTGAGGCAGAGTGTGTAAAACTAGTTTGTATAATTACAAAAGGAAATACAATAGAAAAATACTTTAAGCTTTTTTTTTACAAGTTTTAATGACAGAAATAGTTTTAGAACAAATGATTGAAAACGCTGAAAAAATGTTTAAACAGCAAACAAACACATCAGTGGAGGAAGGGCCAGGACTAACAATACTATTTGTAGCCAGCATAAACTTAAAAACAATATTTAACACCCCACAGAATTACAATCAGAGAATTTTAATGGTTTTACGTCGTTGACGTGACATTACAATCCTGCTTTTCATGGTTTTCATCAGAGATCCTATGGTGCCATCTACTGGACATCCATATATATTACAACCACAGCGACATAATTTTTTTTTTCTAATCCACCTTGTTACAAAATAATTTATCATTTATTCATCGTGTAATCTTCATTACAACCTTTTGAGTTTTAATCTTATCTATGGTTTTGTTTCATAGCAACGTGTGTTGCTGCTGTGAGCTTGGAGCTAGAGAACATCATGACATCACAGAGGAGCTACTCGTTCTGGTCCTGTGACACTTGGTGGTGATGTGTGAGCTGATTCACCTGGAAAATAACTTTTACATGAATATTTTTCTTTGGTAACAAAGGTGGATTAACTAATAACTTGCATTCCTGTAGGACACTCAGCGAAATATGGACGCTACACGATGAGGCAGGCACACGTGGAGATCATATAGGAGCACATATGGTGAGCAACAGAACACATTATTATTAATATTAATATTAGTGTTCACTGTCCTGGATTCCTTTCTGCATCTCATCATTAGCCTGGCTGACCACCACTGCAGGACGCCTGACAACTCCTATCATCTGGCTAAGAGAGCAGGTGCATTCTCAGCAACACACCTGTCACACACCTGTCACACACACCTGTAACCTATCAGCTCATCGGGCAGAGTAAATGACCTAGTGGCCATGACTCTCCTTTTTCTTTTACTGAAACTTACATTCTTGTTTTTTACAGATCTGTGGACATCAGTTTCTCCGTGAAGACATCTCAACTCCTGGTCCTGTCATCCTGAGAGGACAGAACCTCCTTCACTGCCACCATCCAGCCCTGTCTCCTGTCTGCCTACAATTATAATAAAAAATGCTGTATGACAGTTCTTTGTGCTGCCTGATTTTATAGATATTTATATATCACGTTTGATAAATGATCATTACTTTGATGCAGATTTAACTAGCTCTAATGTGATGAATTAAATTAGCACCTCACTGAGCTCGTTTTAAAGCCAAGTGTGTGTTTACATATATTTACAGACATGAATCAAAATAGTAAATATATAAATTGAGATTTATTTAATTAATAAAACAAACAAGTCCAGATGAGGGATGAATCCTTTAAAGGCACATTCTTCTGGAAGCTGATGGTGGACAGAAAAAGAGGAGAACCAGCTGCAGGAACCTACGACCAAGAGAACAACTGATATCAGTAAATAATGAAATCAGGGATACTTTAGTGGATGTTTGTGATTGTCTAACATAAATGTGCACATTACAGAATGATTTTCTCATGGGGGATTTTATTTATAACATGGACATTTCTCTGCAGCATAAAATAACATTAGCTCAAGGTAGTCTGGTCCTATGGAAAGATTCAGCTGTTTCCCTGCTTCAACACGGTTGATTCAGCAGCTCAGAAGTTGGCTGCTGATTAGGATCAGGTGTGTTGAAGCAGATAAAACGGGATCCAGCAAGTTTAGAGTTTATCTGCTGGGAGCTCTGAGCTCTATAGGGCCGGGGTGCCTAACTCTGCAGCTACTTAAAAG